CCTACAAATTTGCTTAAATCTCCATTATAATAACTAAATCTTATTAAAAAGCTTACAATCAAATCTAGTTTCTTTTAAAATATCAACACAAAAAGATAAAAATATAAAGAGTGGTATAGAAAATCCCAAATCATTATTGAATTTCCCTTCTAAAAAATAATAGAAAAAAAAAAAAAAAAAAAAAACTACTTGATTCTTAAATCTTTGTCCTAATATTTTCTTAATATTTGCCTTGAGCTACTATATAGTCTGGTATCTATCCTAAAAGACAATATCTTCAAGCTCTAATAATCCATTCAAGCCAACAACCTCTTATTCTAAATTCCATTCAAATGTGTGAATATATTAGTATTATGTTTCTCCTCTCTTATAAGTAAAATTATTTATTCTCCAAATAATTTTGATGTAGTTAAATTAAGTGCATTATAATAGTATCTTTTTTCTTTATAAATAAAATAAGAATCTTGTCTAAAGATTTAGAATGGCATATAAATTCTTTAGCCAAATTCTTATCAATATACTCCTTAAGTACAACCAATTTGTTCTATGATAGGCTATAGATTGGACTAAATCAATGTTGAGCTCTTTTTTGAAGATCAATAGAACAATCATAGGGACAATGCTTTAAAAGAATATATGCATTTTTTTTCAAAAATATCTTAATAATCTTGATACTAACTTAAAATGCTACCTAAAATCTTTTTTCTTTCAACAATAGATATAGCATATATAGCAAAAGTTGGCCATTTTTTTACAACATGCATGAAAGCTGTCATATCTATCAAAAATGGTTTGGATATATGGATCTTAGGAAATTCTACTTACTTAGCAAAATCTTAGACTAAACTACAAGAAAAATCAAAGTTGCAAGAAATCCAGTCTATGTGAGGATTATATTTTTTTCGCCACAATAATCCTAAAGTAATTAGATTAAAAGAAGATCTAATCACATTAAATATTATCAAAATATTATGACCTTTAATTACTATATTTAAATGACCAATTTCATATCTAACATCTCCAAAAGACAATGAACAACTATCTATTATTTCTACATATATATGTTTGATTTTCTTAATTAAAGATACATTTTATTTTTTGACAAAGTCTTTGTCTATAAAACAAGGAAAGACTCTTGAATCTAATAAGGCTAAGACTTTGTGAATTTTTGATCCTAAACAAAATTCTATTGTAAAATAAGATGAAGGATCTGAAAAGAAAATAGGACCTTTACTAGGTATTATACAAGATTCCAATCACATGATTTCTATTATAGCTGGAGAAATTTATTTTTTAATATTTCATCTTCTTTGGCAACTATACTCCTCATTTTGTAATTGCTTTGTCTTTTTTAGCAATATTCAATAGTATATTTGGATTTTCTACAATATAGGTAGAAACCATTTTAACAACAAAAATCTTTTCTTACTCAAGAAGAAGTTTAAACATATTCTGACAACTTGTATAGGCTTTGGCTTAAATAATTAAGCTTTTGAAAACTTAAAAGATATCATTATGGCTTGATTTGTACTTCCTCAATCAAATCTTTATTCTTGACATCTTTTAAAGAGTTGATTATACTATGTAATAGCTTCAACAATTAACTACTCTAATGAATTTGCTCTTGACATTATCAATAATAAATTTTTGACATTATCTTTTAATCCATATCAAAACTGATTGATAAGGGCTTTATTATTCCAATCCATGTTGCAAGTAAGATTTTAGAATTCAGTATCATATGTGGTGGCTAAACATGATTCTTATCATAGCAATACAAGTTTGCTTTTTGCTACTCTTTCTTGATTACTTTCTCCAAATGTAGCCATAAAATCTTTAAAGAATGAATTCAAATCATAAAGTAGTCATGAATCTTTTTTCATCAAAGGTGCAAATTAAGAAAATTCTCTCCCAAAAAAAAATGTACTAATGAATTTAACTTAATAAATCCATTAGGGTATTGGAAAGCATGCAATCTTAAATAGAAATTTATTTGTTGTAGAAACCTTCAAAATTTTGATCTTGTTTCATCAAACTTCTCTAGCATACTTATCTTTGCCTCTTTATTATTTATAGTAGTAAGACTCCTCGGATTCAATTATAAACTTGCTCTGCTTGCGTCTCTTAATTACACAACTTCTTGGCTTAGATTTTGAACTTTAATATTGACTTCTCCCATAGACGTAGGAATAGTACATCCATAATTTACATTAAAAATACACAAGATTTCTACTCTTAAAGTATTAATAAGTTTGTGAAGATCTAAAATAGTTACAAATTTATTCTCTCTTATGATGAGAGTAGCATCCATAATCTTTTTTTCTATAGATAATTCAAAAAAAATTAAAAAGTTAAATTAGAGGAGAATAATGTACAATCTCTAATATCAAATGAAAATTTATACAAAAAGGATAATCTATTGTCTTTAAAAAATATTAGTGTTAAAAAATTAAAATATTTGTTTAAAGGTGGATAGTCTACAATCTTCAAAACACAACAATAGAAGTGGAGTAATCCACTTATTTCTAAAAAAAGATAAGAACAATAAGTTAGCACTCTTATCAAATTATTAAGGATATGAACCTTCAAAAAAAAAATCTTCAATATACTCTTATGTTATTCAAAAGAATTAAAAAATCACTCAAAGACGATATAATATTAAACTAGAATGACTATTGCCAAAGATAAGAAGACTAGAAAGTCTTGAAATAAGACTAAAGATTAGAAAGGCGTTGACAAGATTGAACAGGGCTTCACTCTTGCTTCCATATATACTCCTAACTAAGAGCTATATTGTAATATTCTATAGGACTTCCAATACGTGTTGAATTTATTAGATAGATGACTTAACTTGTAAGATTAGTTATCTATTTATATGCCACATAGTTACCTTATTCTACAAGCTACTAACACATGTATTACAAGGCTAACTTTTTGATCAAGTTTTTAGCCTATCAATTAAATACAAACATGTATAAAGTCAAAATAACATCTATAAAGCTTCTAGAAAGCTTCTAGAAAGCTTCTTCAAAAGATATTATGAAATTAATCTACATTTATGTATTTCTAATTAATCATATAAGTAATTATTGGAATAAATATGTACGTATGTGAAAGCAATGCAAAAGAGGAGAGGAGAAGGATAAGAAAGAATATGTGGTGTGAGAAAAGAAGCATTGAGGGAGCATGAAGGGAGTATAGAGAAAGCATAAGGAAAGAGCAAGAGCTATGATGAAACAAGCAATCTCATAGGAGATGAAGTTATAAGTTCTAGCCACCATCATGTGGTGTTAGTTATAAATTTTCAATATTATACTTCAATATTCAAATATTTCTATGACTTCTATTAAATCCATCACATTTTTTTTATCATCCATTTCCATCTACTACACATCTTTTGAAAGATGAATTTGATACCATGGGCTTAACAGAGTGAGTCTACTTTTGCTACTCATTAACTAAGATTTACTTTTATGACATCACAAGCTGAGGTCTACTTTCAAAAACAATGCAATATTTTAATATAAAGACATTTACTTAATGATGTGACTAAATGCTTTCAAAAGTAAAGCATCACATCATGCTTATGCCATGCTTAACTTTCTATAATGCAATGCTCTCAAAAGTTGATGACTACTTTTGAATGTACTAGATTTGCTTCTATATATAATGTACCTACTCGTGCAAGTAAATGCCTTCTACTAAAAGCAAAAACTTACATTAGAAGGAAATCATGTGCTTTCTAAGAACCTTGATCTATACAAATTAAGCATAAATTTAATAAAAAATAAATCAAAAAGATATCTATAGAAAATTAAAAAATCTCTCAATATTTATGAGAATAAATATACAATGAAAATATTTTATTGTAAGAAATACACTTATCTACTTCAAAGCATAATTCTAAATTAACTTGCTTGTGATGGTAGATATGCATAATATAGCTAACTTCACACTTCTCTAATTTGTACTTGTCAAACAAACCTTTGGCAAATCCATCAAATCCTCAATTTTTTAGCTACATAATAGATGCTATTGATTGACAACCTTTACAAGTACATCCATGTTTTACCATGAAGTGTATTACATCACGTCAATAGTAATAAAGATATTAGCAATAAGATACCAACATATTTTTTTGTAAGAAGGTCTTATCAAACAAAGCGTAGTCCGTAACCATGATTTTGTTTGTTGTTGCAAAAGAAGCTTGTTTTGCATAGCTCATTGGATGTGGATGATTCCAAGCATTGCCTAACGACTCTTAAGGAGTACATGCTACTCTTGTAGTATGGAATACTATGCCTCAAAATAGTTCCTAGTTAACAATACTTCTTTATACTTCAACTGCAATTGCAATGTTTCCAATGTTGCCTTGTCCCTCTTAGCCTAGCATTGCAATGTCTTTATCTTGGCATGATGCTCTAACACTACATCTACCTCTAGATATGGGAGCATAAGAGACGAGGAACTTTAATCTGTGAATTTATTTCTTAAATTTTCTTGACCTTGTAACAAACTATTTTCATTTGAATCTTGGCATATTAATCTGTCTATATTAATATGTCTAAATAAATTCATGTTTACAGCTGCTTCTTGATTTACTTGGCATGTATTCATTTAGATTATGTTTGATGTTTCAAATTGTATTATTAAAAACTTCTGCTTTTTCAATTATAAGGAAATACAATAATTATGTCATTTGATGATTTTATGGTGCAACAATATATTTTTGTAGAATATAGGATTAAAAGAAGGAAAGAAGTATACACATATATAATGTATTCATATTAGAATAAGGCTGTGATTCTCGCAATGATAGCATGAAAAGTGAACATCATGAGAGAGAGAATGCAAACGAATGAATTGACGAGGAACCTCTGGTCGGGTAACGGGGACGGATGGCTGCGGAATGCCAGTCATCGTTCGTCGAGGAGGAGGACGGAGAGGGGACGAAGAGGAGCCAGGCTTAGTTAGGGTTTTGGATACAAGGAGGGAGGATAGCAACGAAGGAAGCTCCTTTCGCTTCGTGCTCCTCCTCTTCTGCCTCGCTGCGCAGCCTTGCTGCTGTGCGACAGCCTCCTCCTACTCTTTTACCCTTCTTCCTCCTGCTCCTCTCCCCTCTCTGCCGGCCATGGCTGTTCCCAAGAAGGTGGCTCCCGTGAAGGGGAAGAAGAAGGCCCAGACCTTCACCATTGACTGTGGCAAGCCTGTCGAGGACAAGATCATGGACATCGCCTCCTTCGAGAAGTTCCTCAACGACCGCATCAAGGTCGACGGCAAGGCTGGCGTGCTCGGCAGCGCTGTCTCCATCTCCCGCGAGAAGAATAAGATCAGCGTCTCCTCCGAGAGCTCCTTCTCCAAGAGGTGCGCCAATCCGTCCCCGTCCTTCGTTCCTTCTTAGCATTCCCTCTAGCTCTTGTATTTTCATGTGCATCTTCATTTTGTATGAGATAATTTCTGCGCTCTCATCAAGTGACACACAAGCGTTCCAATAACATCGTAACTATCTTGTTCCTTACTCTAACACGTCGAGTAATTTATCACTGTTCATTTGGCTACTGAGATATGGCTTTTTTAAGAAATAATTTTTTTCACTTCAGCTGGGAAAAAACTGATTTTTCCCTCAACGTGTCATCTTCAAAAGAAGATAAATGCAATTCGAATGACTAATTCGGGCTTCTTGTGAACTAGATTTCAAAATTCATGGACTATGTAGTCTTTATCATGACTATAGGCTTTTCAACAGAGTTTTTCACAGGGTGCCAGGACATTGTCTATCCGTCATACGCACACTTGTATCTCTCATGGCAACCTAGAATTTTTCGGCGTTTTAATGTACGGGTTTGCGACAATCTGTAGGGCTTGGAAGGAACCCTGATCAATACACGTGTACCTCAATGCATGTTGATAGCGGATTCCAGAACAATGGAAGATCTCTGGCACTGAAGTTAGTGCGGTTTGGGTTGTTTGATATGACTTTCGCACTAGATTCAGGCACTATGGATCCCCTCTGTATCGACCTCTTGATTCTGGATCAATAGTTAGAAATCTGTGTCATAGGAAGGTAAGAGTTCCGATGTCTAAGGAGGTTTCATATTTCTCATGACGTACCATCTCGGGCGTGGAGCTTGCAGGTACTTGAAATATTTGACGAAGAAGTACTTGAAGAAGCACAATGTGAGGGACTGGCTCCGGGTGATTGCATCCAACAAGGACAGGAATGTGTACGAATTGCGGTACTTCAACATCGCAGACCAGGATGCCGAGGAAGAGGATTGAGGCACTAGTTTTTTCCGGGTTGTGGGGGGCGAGGAAGTGTAGGATTAGGGCTCTGTGGCGCGTTGTCTTACTGCTCATATGCATCATGTTCAATACACTTTTTGTCTCGCCACGCTGCAACTGCCACCGTCTACAGGTTGCGGGCTTTCAGATGGGAGTGGATTTGCTCTTGTGCTTACTTGGTACAGGATTTGACATTTGGGAACTTCAAATTGGTTTGCCTGTAGAGCCGCAATATCACGAGCATGGACGGCGTGATCAAGGGTTTTTCGTGTTGTCTTTCATGGGTATATTATGCATTAGTGATGATTCTGCAGTGTCTACGTCGCGTGGTTTTCTAAGGTGACCACTCAAGAGTTGGTTTTGATTGAATGGTGCTCGAATTTGGAATACACTTCAAATGTCCTGGTCGTCGGATTTTGTTTTGAGTGATTTTGGCAGCTCCTGGCGCTTGAGCGAGGATAGCATGTTTACCTGGCACGAATAGGTTATGTCGTGGAATTACTGTAGTCGAGCAGATATTCTGGTTTCAGTTTCAGTGTTGCCGTTAAGAATGATCGTCCAGGTTGCAATTGTGCATCGATTAGACAGTGGAAGGGGAAACTCCTGAACAACCCTGTGTAATTTTTCCATCTTAAAAAATGTAGATGACTTTGTTAATCCGAGGTCTTCCGATGCCTGCGCATTCATCCTGACATTATAACTAAGGCTCGGATTTATTTAGGTTCAGCACACTTTGAGGGATCACCTTTAAGGTTAACGTGTTGGATACAACACTTATTTATCCTATTTCACTTCGGAAAAGCTCTTTGATTTGCGAGAGACGCTGTATCTTCTTCAGTGAAAACATTACAGCTTACTTCGGGAGGTTAATACGGTTGTGATGGATCTAATTTTCTGTGTTCCTACGCAGCAGCTGAACAAATTCTGATTGTTAAACTTCCCCACATTTTCTAAACTAATAGGTTTCCGAAGGTTGGCTAGCCGAGCGTAGTGACATCCCGAATGACAGAACGATTTCTGTTAAATAGATGGACCGACTTTTATTCGCTGGGAAACGGAAGTGTCTAGAGAGATCACACATGTGAGCAGTTCACGCTTGCATTCATCGGAATTGAAGCGTAACTGTCTCTGACCGTTTGGTCCCCACGTAATTCAGGCTCGACAGGCTACTTCATTGTGTGTTGGGCAGGAGAGGAAGTTGCGAGAACGCCCTTACTTCTTTGCACCAAATTATCCTGTTCATACTCGTTCACAAGCCCCTCTCAGTAACACCGCCCCCTGCGGTGTGGTTGTATCTCTTGAGACCAAATTGCGATGTAATTATCAGCCCCCTCGACAGCAGCCGTCGTCCGTATTCATTTCACAGCATTTGGACCTTGATTGGGCAGACGCAATTATGAAGTTTGTGCAATGCTCATTGGTGCACAAGAGTCGTCGTGTAAGAACCTAATTGATGAGGGGTTGGAATGGGGCCCAACAGGAAGTTGCGGAGGCCACCGAAATGGCAAGATGAAATGGCGGAGGTGCGGGAATTGTTCAAACGAGTGGACCGGGTTCGGCAAGGTGGGTTCACGGGGTTCAGTACGTGGGAGAGCCCTCCTCCTTCGGCATCCACCTTGAGTCGGAATAGATTGCGGCGGCACCGAGCTCTGTGTTCCATGGAGCTCTCGCACCTCAACTTCAAAGAAGCTCCATTCGAAGCTTTGAATCACTTGCAAAACATTCGGGGAATGTGCACCCGCATTCAACGCCAGGTGAACTTCCACGTGAAAATTAACCTAACCCCCTTGTTCCACACTCTCGCACTCGCATCTTGTCTCTTCCATCGTCACACGCAGTACAAAATGAAATGAATGAATTAAGTGAATGAAATGAAACAGTGGTATTAATAACATCACAATAAAGCTCATTCCTTGCTGCTTGAACCAATTTTTCAAGAATTGGACCCATCAAGACTATTCCTTCAAAAAATAACATAAAATAAAATAAAATAGATCATGCCCTGTGTGGACGATGATGTGATATGTTGAAATTACCAATACCATGGTCTATCTTATGCAATGGAGTTTACAATACATGCGCAAAATGATTTTTATTATTATTATTATTATTATTTGTTGTTGCAGTTAATAAGAAATTATAATTGGATTGAAATAAAACAATATCCTGACAGAATGTGACATATACAATTTACAAATGTGTTAGTGTAATCTTCATCATATCACTCAAAAATATTGAAAGAAAGTGGAGTGTAGGACTATCCAATGGCACAAAAGAAGAAAGATGTGGATCTTGTTCATCAACCACCATTGTTACGAAAGTTGGAACCCACTAAAAAAACTCAAAAGAGCAGAAACCTAAAACCCCCATTTGATGTAGGAAGATCATGTTCAGCTTCAGGTATGGTTCCCAATTTGAAGTACAAAGAGTGATATTCTTACATCTCCAAATGTTGGAAAGGATGGACAGTGGGAGTCCACTGGTGACCAAATCCAATTGAACTACAAATGCAATAGGTTGCTGCTTCCAGCTGCATGCAATGTGGGCTGAGCTTACTAAGGTGGCATTGATTGCCTTGTAATACTTCTTGGCTTGAAGGTAGGGCAGTGAAAGATTAACAAGCAGAGTTTATTGTTTGACATTCTAGAATATCATTTTGGAATGGCATAAAATAAAATGTTAACATGGATGCATGAAAGCAGGTTGCCCACAAGTGGGAGCAAGGCAAGGCAAGCCCATGGCCGTGGAGTACGGCACGTATGGCCAAGTGGAGGCGAGTACGAGCTCCGTGCAGGAGGAAGGGCATAGGCCCCTCAGCGCCACCAAATCCTGCTCACGAAGCAGCACTGACACCGGGAAGCATCATCGCATTCCTGGTGATCCTGGACGATGCCACTCCAAGTGCTGCTGCTATGCTCCCACGATGTGCGGATCATGGGATGGCTCTGAGCACCCCCCTCCCTGCAGCAGCATGAAGGAGAAGGACTCACTGTTTCCTACAACTAGCAGCATGTGGTGTCACACCCGCGACAAGGAAGTTATCACCACCTCGACCACCTCCACCTCCACCTTCTCCTCCAGCAGCGTCGACTATTCCACCTCCACTCGTTGCAAGTCCTCCGGGAGCTGCCACACTTCCTCTCCCCTGGTCCACTCCGCCCTCCTTCATGTCAAACTCGCAAAAGGTGCGCCCCCCTCTCCACCCAGGTGCTGCTATTAAAATATAACCTCACTCCCACCCCACCCCCACCCCGGTACTACCAACCATTTTAATCCGTATCCGTTACTGGCAAGTAGATTGACAGTTTTCAGTAAATCACCAACTGAAAACACTTTCTGGTATGGCTCTGATAAGTTAATTGTGGAAGGGTGAATGGTGTATTCTTATTTCTAGAGTAGAAAGAAGGTTAAAAAGAATTTTCTGCCTGGATGAATCTAAATGCAGACTTGGTATATAATTTGATGGCGGGGGAGCAGAGCAAGAGAAAGAGAAGCCAAGCTCCAGACGACCAATCTTTGATTACAGCAGCCATGTGAGAAACTCCTCCATCGGATCCTGGCAGGAGTCCTCTTGCCCCGTTTCTCCTTCAATGACCCCTCCGGTCGTTAATTTAGTGTTCGACAGCCTGCTTCCGAAGCCCAGCCTGTGCTTCCCGGATCCTCACGAGACCACACCATCTCCTCTCACCGACTTGCATCTAGAGACAGAGAGGATCGGTGATACTAAGATCATCGAGGAGCTGGAGGAGGATACCATTGTCAGACAGGTTGCAATCGCAGCCGCTGATAGCCCAAACGTGCTCATCAAGCACTCTTCGGATCCCTACAATGATTTCCATTTGTCGATGGTTAGCATGATTGAAGAAGAAGGTTTGCAGGTAATATATAATTGAATATGCAGCTCCTTCGAATAATCTTTAGCCTTTCCCTCGAAATAATGAATATCTCACTTGACAAGAGCACAAGAATCCTCTGAAAGTAATGTAATGAACTCTGTAACAATACTCGAAACACAGGAATGTGAAGCGGAATTAGAGGAGCTGTTCCAATACTACTTGGACTTGAATCCCAAAGGGCACCATGAAGTGCTTCACAAAGTCATTGGAGACATCCGAACCGATTATTTGCTCAAGCGCTCCATCGAATGACCCTCACCGGCTGCAATCAATCCCTATACATTGCGTGAAAATTTTGCAGTAGTGCATGAAGGGTTGAGATTCTGGTTGCCCATCATGCCCAAGTTGTGTCCAGGTCGTGGGAGGCATCGACTTGTTTTCGATGCTTGACTGCTTGCTGTTCCGATTTCATTTGGAATGGTATGTTCGCTGGAGTATTTTACAGGCATGGGCACTAATTATGAAAATAAAAATGAATAAGATGGATTCAACTAGTCATTGAATTTTATGAAAAATTTAAATATCGGAAATGATCCAAATTACCTAGTGGATGCCGAAGGTGCCGAACACAGAACAGTGATTCCATTTATTATTAATCATTTAAAAAATTGATATTTCCACCCATCATGTGACTATCACCAAAATACAATCGTTCCATTACATAAGTGGAGTTACAAACGGCGAATTGGATTGATCGATGATGTCTATCCCCTCTTTGTCCACTTCATTTGTCTCCATTCCCACTTTCCAATTACTTTCATGTGTGTTGCAAATTGTTGTTGTCATGCTGCTTGTAATTTAGTCCTACTCTACCTTTGCCAAAAGAGACTTCAAGAGTGTTGAAAATGTTTAGAAAGATACAAGAGTAGTAGTAAGTAATAGACACACAAGAGAGTTTCTAAAGAGAGAGAGAGCTTCACACACCAAAATACAATCGTTCCATTACATACGTGGAGTTACAAATGGCGAATTGGATTGGTCGATGATGTCTATCCCCTCTTTGCCCACTTCATTTGGCTCCATTCCCAGTTCTCAATTACTTTTTTGTGTGTTGCAAATTGCTATTGTCATGCTCCTTGCAATTTAGTCCTATTCTATCTTTGCCAAAAGAGACTTCAAGAGTGTTAAAAATGTTTAGAAAGACATAAGAGTAGTAGTAAGTAATATACAAATACAAGAGAGTTTTTAAGGAGAGAGAGAGCTTCATACACAAAACTATTGATCTAGTTGTGTCTAGTATACAAGAGGAAAAGGGGAGAGGATAAACAGTTCTTCTCCACTACATTCCAAATATTGTAGCTATAGTATTTACTATAGACTATAGTAAATATTATGGAGAGCATCGGCTACATTTAATGCTTTCAACACTCCTCCTTACTCATTATAATATTTATATAATATAAAATTTGTATAGAATTATAATCTATATTTTTATATAATCTCGTTAGATCAGCAATTGTTACCTCATTAAAAATTTATCTAAAAAAAACTTATTATATCTAAGAACAAAATCATAGATGAAGAAAAAAGACTATAACATCATTTTCTTTAATTATTTAAAGAGTTCATTAACTTTCTTATTCAAGAAAAGCAAGTCGCAGAATACCAATGCCATAAGTAAGTCGACAATGGTTGTACAATGGGAGAGCTTTGGTGAAGAGATCAACAAGGTTATTTACAGATTCAATTTTCTTAATTATAAGTGCTTGATCAATAATCAAGTCATAGATATAACTAAAATACTTTGGATCAAAATGCTTTGTCATGTCACCTTTAATGAAACCAACTTGTATCTGTATAATAGAAGCACTATTGTCTTCATGCAAGATAGTTGGAGAATCATCATATAAAAATCCACAGGTTGTTTGAATGAATTTATCAATTGATTGTAACCAAATACATTCTCAAGATGCTTTATTTAAGGTAATAATTTCTACATGGTTGGATGAAATTACAGTTATTATTTATTTCACTAATTTCCATGATATTACAACTTCATGTCTTAAAAATACATATCCTATTTGAGATTTAGCTATTGCAGTATCAGTTTATATCTTGTATCATAATATCCAACCAATTTTGGATTTACAAATTGTGTGTAGTATAATCCCAAGTCTTCAGTACCTTTTAAATAATTTAATAAATATTTAATGTCATTTCAATGTCATAGTATTGGACGTGTACTATGTCTTGCAAGAATATTAATTACAAATATAATATCTGGTCTTGTAAATGTGGCCAAATATAAAAGTGCTCCAATCGCTGTGAGGTATGGATATTAATCACCTAATATTTCTTCCTCTTCCTTACATGGACAGTATGGATTATGACCATTAACACCATGTCCAACCATTGGTGTGGACAATGAATAAGCATCAATTATATTGAATCTCCATAAGATTTGTCTAATATACGTTAGTTTAATGTCTAATATATCCTAAATCCTAAACCATCTGTGAGATGCATAATCTGAAGACCAATGCAAAAAGTTATTTTTTTAGCATTTTCATCTCAAATTCACATATAAGTAGGTTAGTAGTTGCAACACATGCAGATTTAATGCCCACTAGGTTAAGATCATCAACATATACAGTGATGATCATAAAACAAGTTTTATCTTGTTTGATAAAAAAACAAGAGATTATTGGATCACTTACAAATTTATGTACAATAAAATAATCTCAAAGACATTGATACCACATGCATCTACATTTTTTTAAACCATACAAGGCCTTACATAATTTAATACCACAATATTGTCCTAAAGCAAATCTATTTGGAGTTCTTGTTTCTAAGGTAGGTAGAACTTTCATATAAATATTTGCATCAAGAGAACCATATAGATATGCAATTACCACATCCATCAGATACATCTCAAGGGTGACATGAACTACCATTCCAATAATGTATCAAAATATAATTAAATCCATGACTGGAGAATATGTAGATTTACAATCAATGCCAAATCGTTGAGTAAATCTTTGACCAACAAGATGAGCTTTATGGCGGGTTATTTGATCTTGAGCATCTCGCTTGGATATTAATACCATCTTATATCTTACAAGGCGAGATGTAAGAGTATCTACAATTGGACCAAATACATAAATTGTATACACTTTATAAATGACTTTACAAGTCTATTTTGAGCATGTTCATATGGAACTCACTATGTCAATTCAATTCCTATTATAGTACAATAGTCTTCAAAAGACTTTGATACAAATTCTTTTGCATTATCCATATACAATGTTTTTATAGGATAATTAAGAAAATATGCCCGAAAAAAAATAAGCATAGATATAAGATTGGCAAACACTATGTTTTGCGTTGATAATAATGAAACATGTGATTGTTTACTTGATGCATCAAGAGGACCAAAAAATAACGAAATGGTCCCCGTATTGGATTAATAGGACCACAAATATCACCATGCAATCTTTTTCAAGCATTGGTGGTAATTCTTATAGAAGTTTCTAAATTGAAGGCCAAGTAATTATCTTAGCTTGTATGCATGCTTGACATAATTCCATAGAGTCTACATCCGCACGCTTTAAATTAAGCCTAGTTATACATAGAATGATCTTTCTAAATAATGTAGATCCTTGATGTCCCAATCATCTATGCTAGAGAGAAGCATGACTCTCTGTGATAGATGATGCAAAATTAAATATAATGGGAGGCCAAATTACAATTTGGTATAAACCATTTTCTATAGCAAAAGCTTTTTCAACAACTTTATGGTTCTTCGCAAGAACCAAAACCTCTATTCTATTTAAAATGGCGATCAAGAGGTGATAACCATTGATATGCACATCTCTATAACTGATCAGACTGTGATGGTCCAAACATCGCATGTTTATATTTTATGATGGAACGCACAAGTAATTTTACCATTGTTGTGTTCTCTTGGAAACAAAACACATTTGCTCTAGCCATGGTCATCATATTTTTAGTTTACAAAATTAAAGATTTATCAATAAAAAATCGTCTATCCTGTAGGATAGTATGTACTATTGCAGAATGAATGAGCATCATTTGATTCATTATTAGAGGTTTTGTCATTCATATAAGCCTCTAAATCATCAACACCAATTGAATCCATGGATGCATCCATGGTATCAACTTCACAAGCCTCAACTCGTAGTTTCTTATTTTCTTGGAATATTTTAATAAAATATTCTGAAGTATAGGATACATGTATTAAATGTCCAATCATTCCACACTTATGGCAAGAATACATCTCTAATTTTTTTTCTACTATAATTAATAGTAGAACATTTATTCTTTCCATATAGGTAGAAGTGGTCATGACTATGACTGCCTTGATGCTTATGAGCACATTTTCCATGTTTATATAATTTTTTCTTAGACTATGAAATATTAAGTGCATGAGATTTTGAAATTGTGGTTCTAATAGGATGAGCTTCCGCATTGTGCAAGAATAGTTCATTTCACTTCTCCGTAAGAAGTAGATAGGACATGAAATCAAAATGACTCTGAAATTTCATGTTCATATATTGTTGTGCAAACACAACAGATAAAGTAAGAAATGTAGAGAGATTTTTCTCAATCATTCCTTCTTCAAAGATGCTTTGTCCACATAATCATAATTGTGAGATAATACTATATATTTTACTATTAAAAGTATTTAAATTTGGAAAATCCAAGACATGTAAATGTATCCAATTATGACATACACGTGGAAGAAAAATGGTCTATTGATGATCAAACTTGGATTTAAGATTCTTCCAAAGTTCTGTAGGAACCTCCATTTCCAAATATTGATGTTGTAATGGAGGTACAGGATGACAATGAAGGAAAAGAAGTGCTTTCCAATAAATAGGAGGAGGAATAGAAATACTTATAATTGGAGATTCTTCAAACATAATGGCATCTAAGAGTTGTTCTACAAATAAATTTGCTTTTATCATTTTTGCCCATAATAGATAATTGTTTCCATCCACAGTCAATGGTGGAAATAAAAGAGCTTGAAAATGTTGGAATGCACTAGTAATAGTTGGAACTATAGTAGAAGTAGTTGAAGATGTTGAAGCACTCATTATAAATCAATCTGTAAAGAAAATACAAGATCAAGTAGAAAAGTTGAGTAAAATATACCTTATAATATAAAGTCAAATAAAATGATAAATTTGAACTTGAAATCAAAAATATTAACTAATTAATTTTTTTTCTTTTTTTAACAAGGTTGTAGATTGTGGCAGCAGAGTAAGAGTATGATGGCGGTGGTAGTCTACGACAGCGCTGCAAGAGAGTTTCTAAGGAGAGAGAGAGCTTCACACACAAAAGTATTGATTTGGTTGTATCTCATATACAAGAAGAGAAGAGGATAAAAAATTCTTCTCTACTACATTCCAAATACTGTAGCTGCAATATTTACTAGTAAATATCATGGAAAGTGCCGGCTACATTTAATGCTCTCAACAAAGAAGAGGTGGCAGACCATTAAAAACAAAACACACTATTTGGAAATAGTTGTTACAATGAACAATAGCCAAGAATTCTATTATATTATGGTGGTAGTTACAAGATTGGTAGAAATAGTAAAAATGTGGGTGGAAATATCATTCCCTAAACATGTAGTTAACTGACTAACATCACAAGAGGACCAGTCCACATTGGTGAATAGTGTCGTGGTTCATGCAAAATGTCAAGGACAGCGTGGATCTAGTATTGATTTTGAATGCTATTTTATAAGAAGAATTTGCAGTTAGAAAGACTTCAATGCATAAGGAATGTCATTGTTTGTCACTAGAGGGAACTAACTGATAATGCAATGAAAATGAATGAGTGCTGCTAGATATTGCAAAAGCAGAAAAAAACCGCGTGTAACAAAATTATTGATGAGCAAACTGGGGGTCACGTACGAAATCGCGAAATCATGTTCAATGGTGAAGTTGAGAACAATTTGGCTTCCATTCATTTCAACATCGAACATAGCTTGTGTATTCAGAACGTCCGGTGTGTAGTAGCACTGTTTGCTGAGCAATTTGTGCATGCGAGTAAATCTCGTACAATCATTATACTTTTTCCTCACAAAGCGCTCACCATTGCCATTTCCAGGACTTTCAGTTACAAATATCAGATTACTTGCACAGCGATAAGAATTTACTAAACCATATTTGCAACCAACAAATTACTCCCAATTCGCCATTGTTATGTCATGCCATTTTCACCAGCTTTACTACCAACAAAGGCCACAGCCTGTTTCAGCAGATAGTCTATCAACGTCGCCGTTTCTGTAATCTCTACCAACAGTAAAATGATTCTTTCTTGAGAGCTAACTTGTCCCGCAATCATTGAATTTTTTTTTCATTTTTTTTTTTTGTTTGAACATCGAATGCAGCTCATGAGCAGTCGACCATGGCGATAAGCTTTATCTACCATATATTATTTACAGGTTACTGGCAACCAATTATAGACCTATGAATGCTCCTAGGTGGCGCAAAATTTTTAATAGAGTGTTCGATGTCTTTCTATCTTAAATGCTACTAGAGTTAGTTAGTGGCTATTTGTTATGATGGTCGGATATCACGCATGGCGTTGGCGAAGAGAGCGCCCACAATGGCGCCGAGACAGGGGGCCACAACGGGAACCCACGAATACCCCCACTCCGACCTCCCCTTCCCGGGAATCGGCACAAGCCAGTGTACAAGGCGAGGCCCTAAATCCCGAGCTGGATTCAGAGCTGGTCCTGTCATTCCTCCTCCGCATAGCACCAAGCTGCAATCGCAAGCACAAGCACAACAATACGTTCAGTTCCAAACCTTCCTCCTATCTCTCTCTGGAAGAACCAAATTCCGAAAGAAATTCCTTATGATTGAAGTGGGACGGTATGTGCGACTCAATTGATCGGGTTCTTGCACTCTGGTTGGAGATTTGTGGAATCGACGCTTTCACGGATTATGTTGAAAAGTTGCTAACAGAGGTACATCACCTCTGTGAAATTAACTGAAGCGCAAGGAAACAACCGATGTAGAGAATGAAAAAAATATTCAACTTACGCGAATACGAGGAGGCCAATCAATGCTGGTTCAATGCCCGACTTATATAGTTCCTTCTCCGCAGCATACTCGTTCAACATGAGTTTTCCTCGGTTGACAATGGCGAATGCTCCGTAAGTGAGCAGAAAGGTGAGAGAACCCTCGGCCCAGACACAGTGAAACCAGAAGCGCTTTGCTATTGAAGGGCGCGTGCAAAACACAATAAGCTTCACTTCTTGGTCTTCAGCAATTCGTTGCTTTACGCTCGGCCCACATGCTGACTTCATCGACTTTGCCTGTGGAGTTGGGAGAGGCAGCACACATGAGTATTGCTCTGAGACGAACACCTTACATCCGCAATCGAAATTCTTCACATAATGGAGCTAACCATGTTTCCTCATACACGTCTTTCGGCGGAAGCATTTTGCAGCTTTTGTAGCACTTACCCTAGCTTGGTGCAACCTATCCATGGAGCCCTTGTCCGATTCTTTCTTCAACTCTGAGGAGTGACTGCCGCATCCCATTATCTGCACGATTCGGATCTCGATTAAGAAGTCTCGATTACAACTGAGACAATAAGGGTGACATGATTCATGCACGTGAGCCCTGACATTAAATTAGCATTCGTGGGCCCTATTAGCTATATACCTTGCGTAGAAGCTCATGCCAAAAAGAGGTCATCGGATGTTCGTAATCCTCGGACTGCACCCTACCAGTCGTTACATTGTCCCTCGTCCCTGCAGATGCATACCTGCATAACATAAAGATAAATAGATTCATCAAGAGTTGTTTTCACAATTTTTCACAGCTAAAATTGGTGAAAGCAGGTGCACTACTTGGGGATAATGTAATGTACCCAGATTTTCTCGTTTAATAATCGCATCATCAGATTCCGATCTTTATAAAGGAGAAGAAGATTGAAAATTAATACCGGTGAGCAGGCTCGCTGAGCTCCTGCTTAATGATAGCCACACCATTGGCTTCTAGATCGCAGCAATCGCATATGGATTCCTCGGTCGACTCCAAAAATTCTAATGGTTGAAAATGAGGGATGTATGTCAACCAGACAAGAAATCCTCCCAAAAATCCACCCAACATTTCTGCACACAGGCATAGGACAAAGCGTTTCCAAGTGATATCGTCCACCACGGCTGCCGCCAGCGCCACTGCTGGATTGAAGAAACCTGTTTGCACCAGTCGAGAACAATGCTTGCGATGAGTAAGCTATGCAAGCAAGTCAATTGTTTTAGCAACTAGTTCATGTGATATCAATGCGAAGGTATACATGGACATTGTAATTCTCTGTTAAGGTAATTATATCAATCAATGGGCCGTGTGAAATCGATCAAAGATATATTAGCATTGAAACAAAAGGGAGATTTGTCGACGCCGGGAAACCAGCAGAATCTTGTTCAACATGAAGAAAGTTCGAAGTAGCGTAGCACTAAACTTCATCACTAACTTAGAGCATATAGGCAAGGTTGTGAATGTGAATAAAATGTTCAGGCCATTTCGATCCAAAAAGCAGTCTATCCACACATTGCAAATCAAACGTAAAACGATTGTTCTTTTCAAGACGAGTAGAGATCGTTTTCAAGAAATAACTGATGGAGCAGGGTGAGCTATAGCACCAGAAATATGGCCGACGAATTGCAGGGGAAGATACACGCCAAGGCCGAAGCAGAATGCGATGCCCAGGAATCCAATGCCGTGGCCCTTAGTGCCTGGGAGCACAGCGTTCGCAATTCCACCCAACCCAACCACGCAAAGCGTCGTAGTTCCCAACAGCTCTGCAGCGAATACTTGCCCCTCGTTGTAACCCATTTTCTTCGTCTCTCTCCACTCAACGTAGAAAGAATCTTGAACTTCTAATCTTCCAGTTGATGACTACAAAAACATTTGCTTTAACCCGATTGCTCACTACAGATTATTCCCATCGTCTAAATCTGACCCGAAAACAGACGAATCGGTCCAAATTCCTATCTTTTAAAGTGCAAGCGAGGTTAATGCCTACGCATCGAGCAGAGTCTGCTTCACCAGCTTGTTTCCTGCGACACACCCCCACACTTACGACCAGCTTCTCTCGCTCAGATGTGCCCAATGATGGCCATGACACTGAGAACATTGGCAGCATGGCAAGATATTTCTGGAGGAAGGCCACGAATTGAGACAATGCAAGTTGAGGAGTCATGGATCGCACATCTTCCGTTCGTTCTTCGTCACGGCCCAAAATTCCTTATTTTTTTTTTTTTATCGAGGTGAGTCAGCACCACACGGAAATGAGTGGCAGGGGGGGTACTCTCCGAATCGAAGAGTGAAACAGTGTCCGAAGCAAGGCTCTCCCGCGGGCCCATGCTGACTGCAATGATCAAACTGATTTTAAGGGTGGACGTCGAAATGGGGAATTGACCCGTATCATCTCCGTGTGTTGCTCCATCGATCCCTCCTTAATACAATAGTTCCTGCATCTGGACAGTGCAGGAACAGAACAGTAGCCCACATGCTATGAATTGGCACAAGTTGTGAGAAGAGGAACGCAGCAGCAGGAGATGCAATAGGCCAACGGCGCATTCCACGAAGAAGGCGAAGGAGGAACCAGGCAGAGCCCTCAAAGGGAGGGGGTGCTCCGCGCAGTAAATATTACATCCGGGAAACGCGGAATTACTGCAGCCAAGGCAGGGAAGAAGGGTGTCGGAGCTACCGCCCTGCGGGTGGTGGTGGGGGTGGGGGTGGGATGGGGCAGCTGGACTAGTACAGCAGCCAGGCTCGCAGCTGGAAACTGATAATGGTGGGCCATTGTGGATGGATAGATGGGTGGATGGATGGATGAATTCCCACCGGATCGGTGAGGCGAGGAGGTCCATCCCAGCAGGAGCGCGGCGCCTCATCCATCCATCCATCCACAATGGCCCACCCATCCATCCATTGCTGTTGAAAGTTGAAAGGGTGAGTTGCCAATGGTTACATATTATACTTAAGATTCAAAGGTAAAGCCAAAAGCATCTTTTATAAAATCTATAAATACGTTTGTGCATAATAAAAATTAACAATATAAATGAAATTTTAAAAACTATAAAATGGATAATACTATACCAATATATGTACATATTTAGAATAATACAAAATAGTATGTATTATTGACTTGCAATTTCAACTTTACATTGAATATAAATTATTTAATAATTTATATATATATATATATATATATATATATATATAGACCTAAATTTTATGTTAGCTACTCAAGCTATATGTGGTCTATATAATTTAATCATCTAAATCAAATACAACGCTATTCTTTGATAAAAATATGATATAGCAAGAGTGACTTTTTAAGTACTTTTTAAGCCATTTTAATGCAATAGATTTTATTACACTACATCTTTGTTGTATCCATATAATACTTTGTCTTTCAACTCTATTTTATCTATAAACTAAGTTGTACTAATATAAACTATGTTTTTATAATGAATTAATGTATTCATTAAAATAATTAGATTTTATGGTCTTTGTAGACTATAAAATAAAAAGTGGATAAATATTTTTTCAAAATTTTTAATTTAAATTATAATACACTTTGTATAAAAAAATTCTTAATATTACTTTAAACAAGGCTAAACAAAAGTAAATCTACTTATTTGAGGTTATATAATATCAATATTTGATTATGTAATTTATTTTTATTTAATATTTTATTACTTTAATATTAATAATCCATATTTATTATTTAATATTACATTTATTTTTATTATTATTGGGATATTTTAATAAAACAAAGATTTTTTTATAAATTTTAATTATATTTGATTTAAATTCAAGACAAACTTGAATGAATATAATCACTTTATTGCTTCAATAAAACATGATTATATATGATTTTAGACCTTAAAATTTTGTATGAGGATTTATATTATATGTTAGTTATGTATTTTATCACACTTAGATTCTAAATTGTATCTATAAATTTTTAGTTATTTTATTTTATCTATTATTAGAAGTATTTTAAAAAATTGATCTCATATAGAATAATATTTTTTATTCATTCTATTTCAACAAAATAAGCAAGACCATCCTAATTGGATAAAAAATAGTAGATAGATGATAAACTTGACAATGATTATTCATATTCTAATTAATGAATAAATAAGTATAGATGGATGGAAATAAGAAAATATCATCCATCTTATAGTTGTCTCAAGCCATAAGTATTGGAGGTTGATTTTGCGCACTACCATTCGTAGTTCTATTGCAAGTTGATGCCATGAGCCACAACTTATTGCCTAGCAACACCACACACCATATATTATCATTTTTTACTTATATAGATACATTAACTTAAAGGTTGTGAAGAACTTTGAAGCAAGCAATTAATTTGGGTATAAAATCAAATATAGAATTGGATCCATTGCTACAAAAGAAATGAAGTACTTTTTTACCAAGTACTAGTACATTGTAAGTATTCTTACAATATTACTCCTCATATTGACTTTATGATATTAAAGAGTAGACCAAACTTGTTATTGTCAAGTTTCTCTTTCATAGATTTTCAAACAAAGAAATGTACCTTATTTTCATATAGAAAGTATAACTTCTCAAGTGAAGCACTTAAAATTATTATAATTTGCTACATAATATTATTTCATCTATGTTTTGTAGGATTTATCCTTTATATTACTCTTTGTCACTGTTTTTTAAATCCTAGAATCTTTTTTCTCATTCTCCAACCTTCCTAGTTGTACTTATGGGACAATATGATATAGTAAAGCAATGCCATGGTCATAAGATTAATTGTAAAAGAATCCACTACTTCAACATATCCTATTCCGATCCACATTCAAGAAAACTTACTAACAACTTTATCACAACTTTGAATACTATTTATTGCAATAGAGCCCAGTCACAATTATTGAATACTCAATACCTTGACATTATAAGATACATGCTTCAAAGCATCTATTTCTACTATGGCAAGTCCTACAAAATTAGTGTACAACCATAAAATGCCAAACTTTCTCTACTAAAATATTTTAATCAACATAACAAAGGAATATTTATTTTATTTTATTTTATTTTCAAAAAAGAAGCAATCGTAAAAGAATCCAAGTCTTTATAGATATACTTCAATAAACTTGCTTTTATGTATGCAATCCAATGCCAATGATAATAGTATTTAATGTAGATTAGCAACAAGAGAGGCAAAATGGATAATGATCCAAGAGCCTAAGCACCATCCATGATGTCAACTACAATTCCAAATAAGATTTTAAATTATTCTTTGTCAAGGAATTTGTGAATGTTTCTATTGCTGCAACAATGGTTGCTCCTATTAATAATGTTACATTTTTCAATCTCAATTTTTTAAATTTAAACCTTGCCAAACCTTCAAACTCAAAAATTTATTACTAGAGGCTAAGATAACTTAGTGTAGAAGTCAATTATAATTATAGCTTTAATGTTTCTTAAATCTTAATCTAATTTTTATTAAGTTATTGTAATTTTAATATTATTAAGATAAATAGAGGATAAGTTAGAAGGTAAAAGATATTATCTTAGATAAGTTACTAATGGTCAAAAGGTAGCAAAAAGATGAAAAAAAGTTACGAAGGTAGTGGCTAGGATTATAGGTGGCAGCTAAGGTTTAAAGTGGCTGCTAGGTTAAGAAGAATCTAACGTTTAGTTGGATGAAAGTAAGATGAACACTAGCCAAAATGGATGTAAACTCTACCTATAAGTTAATGGTGTTGGAAGCAAGAGGCATCTCATTCCACACTTTTCTTGTGTCTAACCTTGCTATTTTCTACTTACTTGTGTCTTGCTTATTGTGTTTCTTCAATAGGTTATTGGCCCACAAACACTTTGTTGTGCTATTCAAGTAAATTAAAGTCATTTGCTAGTTGTTGTTCTTGTAAAACGTTAAAGAATAGATCTTATGGTGTTTGTTGATGTTAAAGATTGTATGATCTAATCTTATGTTTTGACTTGTAGAGGTTCTAATTTGGGCCTTATAGATCTCTAAAATCAGTTTGAAGGTTCTTAACTCTTAGGATTGAGTGATTAAGACTTTATACAAAGAGTTGATAGTGTCTTTGGTGTTGTGGTAAAAAAGTCAGTTTTATAAGTGGAAGAACTTGATAGTGAGGTTGTTTGGAGTTCACATACTTGTTAAAAGCTTTAAAAGTTGATTTGGGAGTGTTTGGAGTGAAGAAAAATTCATTTGTTCATAAGAGGGCGTTCTAAGATTTTCCTAGTTCAAAATTGTTTTGATAATTTTAAGCACATAGAAACTCTTTTTTTATATATTTTTTGATAGACCTCTTCTAAGACATGGCTTCAAGTGAGGGTGAAGGTTTGAAAGTGATTGAGAAGTTTAGAAGTAAAAATTTTTACCATTGGAAGGTCAAAATGGAGCTTTTTTAGGCATCTTTGGACCTTTGGGACATTATAGATGAAAGTGAAGAGCCTCCAAGCATGCATGCTGATGCTAAAGAGAGGAAGGACTTTATAAGACATGAAAAGAAGGCTTTTGGCATGATTGCCACCAATTTGGATGGAGCCAACTTTTCTCACACCATCTCTTGTAAAGAACTAGTAGAAGCATGGAAGACTCTTTGCAACATATATGAGAGCAAGAACTTGTCCAACATCATCTTCACAAGGAGGAAATTCTTCACTTACAAGATAGAAGAAGGTGAAGACCTCATGGCTCATGTCAATAAGGTAAAGGCCTTTGCTAATCAACTTGCAATTGTTGACAAGCTTTTAGAAAAGAGTGATATTGTCATGACCTTGCTTATGAGCCTTTTCAAGTCGTACAACTATGTCATTGTGGTATTGAAGTCCATTAAACTAAAAGAACTCAGAATGGATTATGTAATGGCAAGACTTGTTCATGAAGTGACTAAGAAGAAAGAAAAAGAGTCCCAAAGTAAAGATTCGGCTTTCTTTTCAAGAAAAGATAAGGGGAGTTATTCTAGCCAACGTGGCAATGTGAGAACTTGCTTCATTTGTAGAAAACTAGATCACTTTGCTCGAAATTGTTACAAGGCTAAGAAAAGAGATAGACAAAGTGCAAAAAATGCTCGTGATGAATATAGAGGTGATGATTATGTATTCATGACAAGTGAAGATACTTCCATGTCTACCATGTCCAAGTGGATCATT